AAAACAACGTTTGCTGGGACAGCTAGTCTAATATATAAAAATCTCTTGTCACAATGTTAGTTACCATGCTCCTTCCGGCTTGGCCTATTTTTATGAAATTACAAACACATGCATATTCAGTAGGTCTGAGAATCGACTACTATCTATTTTTCATATCCCTAAATAATAAGGGTTGACCACCCCTAAAATTATGTTTTTATAACGTAGCTTTAAAATACATACAACCCTATGTTTTCACTCGTCTATCACCAACCTTTCTTCTTGAGTAACGATATTACTACTTAAATATATATGTAGATACAGCAAATGAACGTTTCAGTTAATAAGATATATGCGTTAGTTTTAGTTTATTTATCTATATTTAACGTGTATGTATATGTATATATTAATTTATTCAATATATATCTTACATATTCATATATGTATATAATACTTTTCTTTACTTTATATTTATATAATATAAAATCTAGTATAGTTATTTATATGTATTAGTAAATTTAAAACATTTCTCGTTTATACCCCACTACGCTTTCTGTTTCTACCCTAAGGTTAGCTGGGAGAAAATGCCATACGGCTTTCAGCTCGCCTCTTGTACAGAAGTTTTTTCTTCAATAAAGAATAAATAAATAAATAGTTATATACAAGTGTACCACAGCCCAGCGTCTCTTCACGCCGACCATCGACAGAATTGAACTTTGTGCCAAGTCACTTAGAAACTTTTGCAATTAGTCATTATCAGTTTGACAGCCTTGATTGTCTAGCGGTACAGCCTTAATTCCCGTGGTCGCTTGTTCGATTTCTCGGTACAAACATTTGTATTCATGAGTATGATATAGATAGAGCACCGAGGCCGGTAAAAATAAATGAACAGTCCTCAATTCAGTAATAAACGCTGGGCATCGAACGGCCAATTGACCCCGGCAAGTCAACAAATCGTCTATACACAAGTTGCCTTCATCGCAAACAACATAGAGATGCAGACTGCCTTTATTAACTGGGAGTTGTTTTGTAATTTCATGAATTTTGTTGATTATTTGATAGTTGTATTACAGATAACATAATATGTTGTACAGATAACATCATATTACATAGTAGTTGTAAATTTTGCAATTACAATACAAATTGCATTTACATGAATAAAGATATTTTGAATTTGAATTTTAATTTGAATGATAGCTGGCTCATCTGTCATACTCGTGAACGGATGCTGCTTGTGAGGACTGGTCTGTTCAGGTTGCGAACACTGATTAGATTTTTTGTTTTTATTTTTTAATAGCATATGCTGGTGGTCATCTATTCTCCCAAATTTGAATTTAAATGAATCTGTATTATAGTAAATGTGTACAACTTTTAAAAAAAAAAATTAGTTTCTTGTCAGTTCTTCTTATCTCGAAATCATTCCGAACTGATGGTAGATTTGACATATCATAAGAGTTTGTAATAGACCTACATGAATAAAGATATTTTGAATTTGAATTTGAATATTAAGAACCGGACTGAATGGGCCGATTTTACGAGACTCATGGACTCTCTAGCTATTATAAGAGGTATCTCACTTTACTTTTGTTTCAGAAATTTTATTTATTACTAGCTGTTTCCGCAACTTCGCCCGCGTGGAATTTAACTTTATTTTAAAAATAAAAATAGCCTATGTCCTAGTCCCGTCAAAATCGGTCCAGCCATTTCAGAGATTAGCCGGAACAAACAGACAGACAAACAAAAATTGTAAAAAATGTTATTCGGTGTATGTACCGTATTTATAGAATAGAATAGAAAATCATTTATTCAAATAAACTTAATTTAAGCACTTTTGAATGGTCAACATTTTTTTAAATATATCGCTTATTCGGAAAGCTGTATATTCATATGCATGTAGTAAAAAACGGTTATTTGAATATTACAAACAGACACTCCAATTTTATTTATAAGTAGAAGAAATAAGACCATGCAAATTGTTTTTTTATTTTTCGTAGTATAAACGTGCGTATAATGATTTCTCAAATAACGATTCACTTTCAGAATTACGGTATGGTCATCCCCATCATTTTCGGTGAAGTATATAATGTTTCGACTGTTTTGGCGAAAATACCATTTGGCTTCTCGAACGACTGCGCATACGTTCTTAATATAGATTATTTACAAACAATCACACCTTGGGAATTATTCGATCAATAGTGCATGTGTACTCACTTAGCCTCGTACATTATTTGCCGACCTGCGCATACCACGGGTAGCTGGGTTTCAGACTACTCTCACTACTCAGTTGCCGCAGCTGGCTTTTACAGCTGTACCGGACTTTAGGAGGAGAGTGTAGAAGCAGTAACAGTACCCATTCCGACACCCTTTGTCCTACGAGACAAGTATGTGATTATGCGGAAATTTTCCGCCGATTGAAGAAAACTATGCGATATATATTTTTTTTATTTGTATATTTTAGTGTTGGTAATTTTGTTCAATTACGAATAAATGCCTAAATGGGGAAATTTTTGCAACTTGCCACTAGGCAAAATGTCACTCACTGTTTGTTTAAAAATTTGCTTTGGTTGTTACCTCTGCAAGAGCGAGGCCCTGTTCGCCACGCCCTAAGGCCGCCACTATGCAGAAGGCACCCCAAACCTGCAGAGGGACTTATGAAGCGGTTTTAGTCAGATGCGCTATATATTTTATTAGTAACCGTTGTGGTATAAAAAATACTATTGGAAAATATCGGTTATTACTATAAATATTAAGTTTTTTTATGACAGACTTGACTGGGCTATGCGACGAGATATTACATCTCTGTGCATTTTCCACCGCATATATCATAAAGTGTTTTGAAAAATTGTTCGGATTAATTCCAGCTATTAGATTTCACCACTGAACTATCCGGTAGAAACCAAAATACCATCCTGATAATTTAGATGAATGGCGGTCCTTCACCGTAAGTTTTCCAGAAACTTTTTGCCACTCGCAACTACACTGTGGAATGGTATGGTAGTACCAGCACTGGTATTAATGGTCCGATACGATATTGAAAGCTTCAAAGAGGTTATTCATTCTTAAAATGCTACATCAACATATGTTTATTCCTTAACCCAGTCATTTTGAATTGGCAGTCAAAGAAATGAATGTCATTTCACTTCTTAAAATGCCTGTTGCCAGTCAAAAGCAATTGCATTCCAAAACTCTTCTTAAAATCTCCTGGTGTTGCGGGTGCTCATTGGCGACAGTAATCTCTTACCATCAGATGAGCCACTATCTCGTTTGTCCCCTATGCTATAAAAAAAAGTGTTTGACGGTGATGTAGATATGCAATACTATTTCTGAGGACTATTCGCTTTCAGTCTATAAGCGTAGTAACAGACGTGGAGTAATTGCCTAACTAACCCCATTTGTAAAGGTCCCGGTGCCAAAATAACAGCTCTTGAAACAATGACGCCATAACACATCTTGTGCACTGAAATAACAATTTTCAGAATTGGCCATCAGCTCCGCGATGCTCTCGTTGTAGTTTTTATTGTCATTCCAATTTTCTTATCCACAATAACGTCAAACTGTTTTATAAAACTACTTTACCTGATATATTTTTCTTTTTTAGGAGCTATTTTCTTCTTTTCAAAGAAAGATTACTAGTGTTTGTAATAAAATGTGTCTGTAAATGATACTATGAAACAATTTTTGTTCAGATAAATATTATTTTTACAATATATTGCATTACCGTCTGATTTTTGTTGAGATTAATCTTTAGATTTATTTATTGAATAAATCTTAATATCAAGTATTATTAGGATACACTGTTCATCCGTGAAAAGGCAACAAACAGTTAGATAGACAGGCAATATATATGCGTAAATAAATAAGTTAACTACTTATAATATTAGCATGATGGTTTTAAGATACTTATGTATTTATGATTTGCGCAGTTATGTCGATTGTATAGTCCTTTCTTATAGAAGTGTATTTAACCACTCGTGCAAAACAATCATGGCTATTTTTAACTATACCCTCATCATTGATTTGTCTTGATTACACTATATCGTTCATACATTGAAGGTAGGTACTTAAAAAACTATAAGATAACTACGTAGATCTCATGAAGCGATTGAGTTCGACATGTTTGATAACATCGGATCGTTTCGGGTTCATACCGGGTGTTGACGTGATTTGGGTTTAATCTGGGTTTACGTCAATCTGCTAATGAGATTGCAGTGTAAGCTCTACATATCGACAGGTCGAGACATGTAAACAGGTTTCTATAGCTAGGTCAGGGTCTACGAAAGAGTTTTAGCCATTAGTTCAATTAAAAGTTGTTTCATTTATACGCTATTTTACACGAAATATATAAAATAAAATAGTATATTAAAATAGTAAATATTGACGTGAAATGGAACGCAACCTAATTAGTAAAATTGATTCTTCGTCTTTGATCTGTGCCCAGTGCTATGAATGTGATTTGTAGCTTTTTGTTAATGTTAAAATGTTTAAATATATATAATTGTAACGTGTACAATTATTTCATTTAAATTACTTATTTTATATATATAATAATAATTTAAATTATCACAATTAAAATAACTACAAATATACATTAACTGATAGAAAATTTAGTAAGAAATTAAATCTAAGTTTGTAGATTTTACCAAATGTATAAGAGGAAACGTGGTCATGCTTCCTCTCCCTATTAGCAAAACTGTGTAGTGACATCCTATCATGACGTCATGCATACACGAAACGTCTACTTTGGACTCATTATCTTAAGGATATAAAAATCATAGCTCCTAAGAATACATATTCTCGAGGAAGTGGACTATGCAAAAAGAGCGAGCACAATAGATCTCTGCAGGTCGTAGTGCTACCGATCTAAAGCACCAAAGATCTAAAACTCCTTAACAAAAAAACTAAGTTATGTCGAGACAAACAAATGGAAGGGTGCGCGAGTCTTGGCAGAAATATTATTAGTAGGCACATTACTAAAAATTCTAGAAATTTCCATTTCTGAATGTTGTTCTGTATTGTTGCAGAAATACGTGGTCAGTACGGACCGGAGTGGCGATATACATGTTCATGTACAGGTGAGCTATAAATTAACAGTAAGTACAAACTACAAATATGTATGTAAGTATTTATATTAGGTAGTAAGTATTTATAACTATATTTCCCGCGTCATTATAGCCGCGTAAATTTTCGGGAAATTCCTCGCCGCCACTGATTTCAAGAAACGAAACCTTGCGTTCGTGAAACATCGTGTATCTTTATGTATGATCTTTGTGCAACGTATATGTGTATATACTCATATACATGTTAATATAGTATGTAGCTTTTAGATATTTTAGTAGCGTAACAAATGGTTATCGAAAGTGTTTCTACGACACTTTTGTACGAAATAAACATACGCTTAAAATTATATCTAGCTAGACAAAATAGTAGATATAGAATAAATAATTAAATGATTATAATAATCAATTTGAACATAAACCATATTATTGACAGTATCTCTACACTGTATATGACTTCATACAAAGTCAGATCCAATCCGATTCTACATATGTTGCTGTATCGACGTTTACTATACACAGTAGGGTTTAATATAATTTATACTTTTTAGCGCGCATTTGTATTATTTAGTTTTTTATATATGGTGTACGTTTTCACAAAAAAAACAATGTATTTACGTATTTCTATTACTGCTTAGTTACTAGATGGCGCTGTACGAAGTGTGGCTTATTAATGCTATATTTAATTTCAATTATGCTTCCATTTATATATATTATTTACATGAGTTTCATTACATTGACGACCTCGGTGGTCTAGTGGTCTAGCACACCGCTTTACGATCCATGGTCGCGGGTTCGATTCCTCGCACGGCACAAACATTTGTATTCATGAGTATGATTGTTTGTATCGGTCTGGGTGTTTTCTATATATAATATGTATGTATTTACAAAAAAAATATCTATGTATATGTATCAGTTATCTAGTACCCATAACACAAGCTTTAGCTAGCTTATTTGAGTCTAGATGGCGCTGTGTGAATTGTCCTGAGATTATTATTATTAATATTATTATGAGTAAACTCGACATTTTTGTTCAAATTTCCAAAAGGCTTATTTCCTCCCAATTATATCAAAACTATAAATTTCTTCCACGCTATCAGGGTGTGCTTCCAAAGCATGTTCAGGTAAGAGTAATACTAATAAACTATATATACTATTAAATATCTTATATTATAGTTGTATATATATATTTTTTGATTCTTAAAAAAAATATGCATACTCTACTCTATTTTTGTTGCATAGTCTACAATTGTTTATTTATTTTCTACAAATTGTACTGTTATTGTTGTCATTTGGTGTAAATTAATTCGTCGGTATGCTTGTTTGAAATATCATTAAATATTTAAGTAACTCGTTTGTTTGCCACAATATTGGTTAAAAGTAGCATTTCTGTGTTTAATTTTCAGGGTGACTTGAGTCAACAAGACAAGAGATGTGTGTTCCTCACGGTCCATGATCTCGGCACTAATCGTAAGTTTACTAACATATATAAAATACTGAAGAAAGGTTTGAGAAAGTGACTACTAAATCTTAGTACAGCAAAATATTGTAGGTCCTACATTTGTTTGTAGTTAATCTGTACAAACAGACTATTTAAGTTAAATATTTTTTAATTGAGTTAATATATTGTTTTTATATAATACTTTCGTATTTAATGTTTATTAATATAACTACCTACTCGCCCCGGCTTCGCCCGGGTATACATGTATTATACCTATAAACCTTCCTATAGACTCACTCTATCTATTAAAATTAAAAACACTTCAAAATCTGTTGCGTAGTTTTAAAGAATTAAGCATACATAGGGACAGGCCGACCGCGACCGCGACTAGCCTATATGTTATTCTGGTGCATAAGCTATATTACTGTGAAATTTCATCAAAATCCGTTCAGTAGTTTTTGCGTAACAAACAAACTTTAACGTACATAATAGTATTAAGATGTGAGTTTAAAAAATACATATTTATAGACACGTCTATGGTGGACTTCGTGACATGTCCAGCCATGAGTGAGATAAAGGAGCGCTCGTGTTTCATACACGTCGACGTGCCGGGACACGAGGAGAATTCCCCGGATTTGCCTGACTCGTGAGTACATATCTTCTTTTTAAGCATAATGATGGAAAAATGCACCCGCCTGCAATAACTGCAATGACAACACCAGAATGATAGAATGAGCACGAAGTCAGTCAGACCCTAATGGCGATTTCCCCATTACAATTGTAAGAAGCACTAATTATGATGACGACTTAGGCTTTGAAGCCGGCTACCGCAAGGAAAACCCTAAGTAGCGCTCATGACTTGTGACACGGGTGTTCCGGCCGTTCTGTGCTTGTTGACTGAATGCCGTGACTTATTCAACGAAAGAGAATTATTAAATTTTTGGCGCGAAATTAAAAAAACATCCGATCTACGCCATGATTTTATGGTAAAATACTCGTCTACAAGTCAATCACGACTTATTATTTTCCAGCTACCAGTTCCCATCACTACAGACACTAGGAGAAGATATCATTACTGTTTTGGATTTCCTCCATGTCCGATACGCTGTCGGGCTTGGCGAAGGTGCTGGCGCTAACGTCCTCGCCCGCTGTGGACTGGCTCACCCTCGCAGGCTCCTGGGCCTGATCCTGGTGAATTGTACCGCCTCCACATCCTCAGTATCGGACGCCTTTCGCAGCAGGTTCTCCCGCTGGAAGGGTACGGATATTTCACAGTCTGAAGAAGATTTCCTAATCTACCACAAGTTTGGACATGTGAGTTTAATACCAGGGCATCTAGATTTTCATTACCAGGTATTTCTATCTCTATTTTCCTACTAATCTCACTAACGATGCTCTATAGAGCATTTTCATTGAAGGTAAGATTCAATTAGTCACTATTCTAATGTATATATACATGATTAAAGGAAGTTATGTGATAGGGTTGTCATACGAGAGTTACCCTAGCGCCTGCTTGCTTTTGTAAAGCAAATATTAAATAAATGGTATTTGCTAGCAAGAAGTAGCAGGCGTTGGAATAATGCTTGTGTGTGGTAACATGTACATCACACCATTGTAAATATACAAGTTAACAAGTGCAAACAATTTTCAGTTAATTCGGTAGTTTTCTTAATCCCTATTAGCTAGTTATAATATTAAATAACTATAAGGACTGATATTAAATATTAATTCCCATAGACCCATGTCCACTACCCATTTTATTGTCTAATTGTGCATAAATATAATATACTGTAACATCAAAGATATAAGTTCTAGATATTTCGATCTATTTTTGAACTACGTTTCACTATTTTCATCAATGTTATAATTATAGAAAGTTATATTATAAGTTCATTGTTAATTATTAATTACACTATTTATATTCGATCATTAGATTCAATTTCAAACTTACATCCACTCGATTGATTACATTTATATATTGCCTTTATATAAATATGTAAACATTCTATATATAATTTTAATGGTTTTTATACATAGAGACATAAGAGCGTTATAATCAACAATTTCACTTTGAGATATTGTTATTAATTCTTATCAGAGAGATATTCATGTAAAACTACAATGTTGAAGATGATGTAACGATTTTTTGATATAGTATGGTAGTGTATATATCTGATTCATTGCGTGTTGATGCAATCTTCTTGTTTGTGACTAATTACTAACTTACTAATAAATTTAAATGGGCTTTGTTGATATACTATTAGTGTAACTACATGCTTACTATTTGAAAATAACGCTAAATATATTTTATCAATTTTTGATTAATGTAATATACTTTTCTCTTCATTTTTTCATAAACAATCATTACAAAGCTTGAACGAAATTCTCATATTACTCGAATTGTGATTTAATAAAAAAACAAGAAATAGTAGGTTAATATATATTTTCAATGTCCATTTGTTATGATATATATTTATATATAAGGCTAATTCTATTATAGAAAATAAAAGATTCATTATACAGCCTATGCCTCATGCCTAAACACAGCCCTAAAATCGAATGCTATATTGAAACATTGGCAGTTGGCAGTTCCGTTTCTACTAATAATTATTATTATTGCTATTATTGCTAATTGTAATAATAATAATTATTTTCCAATAGAGATTTTCCTACACACGAACCGATACAATCCATGCATATTTCCATCAATTTTAGAGCCGTGTAGACATGAAGTGATAGTGTTCCACAGATATTGCTATCGATTTTAGAGATGTGTTGTGTTGATTTGTTTACAGCAAATCTCAAGTGATTCGTTCGAGGCAGGCGAGCGGGACCGCATGCTCACCGAGTACAGGTCTCGTCTTCGAGGGAACCTGAACACTCACAATATAAAACAATACGTGAAGGCGTTCATCAAGTGAGTATAGACGTATACCATACGGTAGAAAAGCATATTATAAAAACATTAGCTTTCCGTTTGCACAAACTTCCATCCAATATTTCACCCTAGCTGAGAATTAAATTTATACATATACTAGCTGAGCCTGCAAACGTTGTTTTGCTATATAGATTAATATCGCTATTAAAAAATTGGATTTAGGTATTTTAATGCCACATTATAAAAAAAAATTATCCATAAAATAAAAAAAATGGTAAAGGTGGACAACCATACCATACTATGTATTTTTCATACCTCTAAGTGATAATTCACTTAGAGGTATAAAAAATACATAGTAACCGATTCTCAGACTTAATGAATATGCGTATAAAATTTCATAAAAATCGCTCAAACCGTTTCGGAGGGGTTATGCTAAATAACAGACGTGAGAATTTAATATATAATTTATAAAGACTCTAAGTAAGACAACTGTGTTTTTCATCAGCCCGGAAGACGTCCACTGCTGAACAAAGTCACAAATATTAATTTAAATGACTGTGTATTATTGTTAACATGTACTACATATTTTTTTTTCTTTTGAAAATAATACGAGCTGAGTTTCTTGTCAGTTCTTCTCAACTCGAAATCATTCCGAACTGACGGTAGATTTGACATATCATAAGAGTCTATAATAGACCTACACGAATAAAGATATTTAGAATTTGAATTTTAAAAAAAGTCCACCTCCAAAGACCTCCACGTTTTTATATGAGTTACACATCTGGTTTGTTAAATTGTCTTACAGTCGTAAAGATCTCCTATTGAAGGGCTGTCAGCCAGATATTCTTCTAATCACGGGCATGCTCAGCCCTTACTCCGGAGTCGTGGAGAAGATGTACAAGGAGTTGGATAAAGAAAAGGTTACCATATTGAAGGTGGATCGAGTAGGTGACGTGCTGGCTGAAGCTGTAAGTATATATATTATTACTGACAATACCCAGTAATTTATTGAAATATATAATTAGTGAATTTATTATGATTATGTTTGACATTCGGCAAGATTATAGATAAATATTATTAAAGACAAACAATATTAATCTATTCTCAATTTGAACACAGACTTGAACAATACGAATATACCTATAACAAAATAGTATCGAAACGTGTGTGTGTTAAATACATGGTAGTGTGTACAATGATTTCTTTTTATAGATTTCAATGTAGTTTGTGGTAATTAAAAACAAACATTAGCATTCTGCCCTTTTCTTTATATGAACTACTAGCTGTTCCCGCGACTTCGTCCGCGTGGAATTTAACTTTATTTTTCTAAAATAAAAATAGTTACTTACTCCTTATTACATCAGCTACCTGCCAAAAAAAGTCCCGTCAAAATCGGTCCAGCCATTTCAGAGATTAGTCGGAACAAACAGACAGAGAAATAATATTTATATTCATATGCATGTAGTGAAAAACGGTTATTTCAATATTACAAACAGACACTCCAATTTTATTTATATATATACTCCATACGTCCGAGGATCTTTTAGTCGAAGTCAAAGTAGGAAACCACTGAGTCATGACGTTGTTGTTGTTGAAATACACAATGTTGACAATGTAAATACGAGTATATTAACATAACACTATTAATATATTAACACAGTGATTTTAGAATCATTTCTTAAATTAAACACAATAATAAGTAAGTAACTATAAATAGTAATAAATACGTCGTCATACAAGACTCTACATGCTATATCGGTGTTCGGTCACTTGTTGGTCTCGTTACTGAGATGGTTGATCTATGATGCTACTTATCATCAAGTGTGCCCTCAGCTTGTTTACCATTCTAGTTATATAAAAAATATGCACAACAACCGGTTCTACGTCATAAATGTGCTACCGAGCCACTGCCTACTTTGAGCCGAATTATTCGTTAATCACTTTCGCGCGAGACGCATGTCGGTTTCGACTAAGATTGTTTTAATACTTCGAGTGTCTATTATTAACTTTCCTTCTACAAGTGGTGAATAATATTCTTCTATTACAAACCTGTGTTATAAAAATATGAATAATATTATTAATATCATATAACCATATATCATCAGCAACAATAACATGAAGTGCAATATTTTTCTGTAATTTACCATCATTACCTGAGTAAAGTTTTATTTGTTTGGCGTCTTCATCGCTGTTGACCTTTTATACAGATAACGTCTCGTCTCTTCCATAAATTTCAATGAGCGTAACGAATCATTCATTTACTTGGTAATAGAATAACAAAACAGATATGATGGCAGATATTATTACTATAATAGCAGTACTGTTAGTGCCAATATGAGCATTGGGATTGTATCAAAAACATATAAATGCAATATGCAAGTCTAAAAGAAGACTCGATGGCAAAACTGCTATTATAACTGGAGGTACTGCAGGCATGGGATTAGAAACAGCAATGGATTTCGCGCAAAGAGGTGCCAAAGTCATAATAGCTAGCCCTTATATAGAAGAGGGTAACTGTGCAAGAAGTTTAATAATCAGTAGCTCAGGAAATAAAAATGTCAGCTTCAAACTGTTAGATTTAGCGTCTTTGAAATCTGTACGCGAATTTGCAGAGGGAATACTTAAGAGCGAAGATCGTTTGGATTTGTTAATGAATAATGCGGGCGTAGGAACCCCTGGAGACTTTTTAACTGAAGACGGTATGAATTTTATAATGCAAGTGAACTATTTTGGTACATTCCTTCTGACGCTTCTACTATTGCCGCTGCTAAAAAGAACCGGAACTCTATCTGAACCGACTAGAATTGTAAATACCTCGTCACCTCTACGACACTTTGGTGTTATCGACATCAAGAATTTAAATAAGACTGGTCACTGGTTCTGTGCATTTATCTACGCAAATAGTAAATTATGTGATTTGTTATTCACTTATGAATTGGTTAAGAGACTGACGAATCGTAATGTTATAGTAAACACTGTTAATCCTGGCATAGTGGGGACAAGAATGATTCTTAGTCAAGGTTGGCTCTTTGGACATGTTTTGAGATTTTTCTGTCTTCTATTATTTAAAAATCCATGGGAGGGTGCGCAAACTGCCATACATGTGGCTGTAAGTATACGCGCCGGTCAAGTTAGTGGCGGACTTTTCAAAAATTGTAAATTATGTAACGATAAGATTCCGTACAACAATGAAATTATTAGAAGACTTTGGGAGGAATCAATGAAATGTGTTCAACTGAGAGAACATGAACTAGTGTTATGAATTGGTAATTTTTTATTTCTGTGTTAGGATTTTATGTAAATTATTTTATTTTGATTGTGATATTATTATAAGATTAGTCTTATTCTTTTATATTTGTTTAAATATATATTATAGCCACAATTAAATGATATTTTTGCTTAATTCTTTTTTTTATATTATAATCATCAATGAAGATATTTTTAAATTAATAGTGTATGCATAATAAGCGACAAATGCCATGTTTTCTCTTTATATTTGAAGTTAATAATCGTAAATTCTTTACGTATAATATATATATTGTATTCTTGTTTGAGAAAATGGTTTCAATATTATAATCATATAATTATTTGACTTATGTTTGTTTTTCTGTAATATAATTGAGAGTCTAACATTAAATTATTTCTTAGCGATTGTATCTGAAGTTACTGAAAGAAAAAATAATTTTAATCTAAGAGATAATTATAGACTCGTTCTGACAACACCCAACACATTTTCGTAAAATACTTAATAAAAAAAAAGGAGTTGCTTTTAACAACCTACCGACCACGACTTAGCCATTAACAAGATCTCTGATTATCCCATCTTTTGTTGCAGTCATGAAGCTCTTATCTTATTTATTTCTATACTCACTTTACCTTTTATTTTCATATTCTTATTTGATCTTTTATTCACCAAAGAGATGCAGTGACTGTTATTTTATTATGCTCGAACCCTTTTATAAATAACTCTACATTTTAGCGTCCTTACTACAACGTCCTTTATACAAGTTGTGGTTGGTTTACTAGTACATACTAATAATATTGCAAAGACTTTACGAGTACTAGGTACTAGTGGTACTAGTTACTTATATTAATAATGCTATTTACACACGAATGTAATCGGGAGTTAAATAATCTTAGGTTAATTTAATCTGACAATTATAAATATAACACTCTACTTTAAAGAACTTGGCGATCTAGCGGTTTAGCACACCTCCTTATGTCTCAGGTTCGATTCAACGCAATAGAAACATTTGTGTTCATTAATAAAATTGTTTCTGTCGGTCTGGGTGTGTTCTATGTATTTACAAAAAGAAATATCTAAGTGTTTATAACCCGTGACCATGTGAATCCGGTGTGATAAACCGCTAGACCACCGAGGTTGTTAATTATAAGAAGATCCTGATTTAATGAAAGGAATAATGGTCCAAAACCTTTTATATTTGCTCGTTAACCCTTTCTACTTTTTAAACAGCAGACGCAGACAACTTTATTCATCTACTTGCTCAGTTCATACTAATATATATTTAATTAAACTGTATCTAATAATTATTTGTGCTAATTATACGCAGTGGCATCGATGTGTACTAAACTTTATAACTGATGTGCAGGCGTTGCAATCCCTTCCGCTGGAGCTAGTAAAAGTGACGGTTGTTCAACGTCATGCAGTCGTTCATTGACCTGCCGAGATGTAACGTGTATTTCGCGTAACATTCGCACATAAAGGTCAAAATAACATAGATTGTAAGTATTATCAGCTTCTTCAAGTTGTCTTTGATTATTAATACTAATTACCTTTATTTATTGGAATTTAATTTATTGACAAAATTGTGGTTCACAAAACGACAATTTGTTGTCTATCGTCTTAGGACAGGACGCTGGTGTATTCCACTAATTAGTAATATTGTAAATAAATTTATAACAAAACATTAGAGTTATTATAAACCACGTAAATTAGTTATAAATATTAATACATATGTTATTTATTACAGGTATAAAACCAGCAAATTCTCAACAACAGAGTGCTATTGTGAATTGCGCGACCGCAACGCAGTGTATGAATATTCCGTGAGATATTAACCATTCTGTCATTATGTCTGTTATATTGCTCATCATAGAAATAATAATTATAGGCGGAATGATAGTTGGACTGTATCAGAAGAATACAAATCTAATGTGCAAATCTAAAAGAAGACTAGATGGGAAAACGGCAGTAGTCATTGGCGGTACAGCTGGTATGGGATTAGAGATTGCAGCTGATTTTGCTCATAGAGGCGCCAAAGTTATAATAGCCTGTCCTATAGAAGAAGAAGGACAACAAGCAAAAAAAATAATAATCAAAAGTTCCAACAATGAAAATATCGTATTTAAGTTATTGGATTTGGCGTCGTTGCAGTCTGTGAGAAGTTTCGCTGCAGACATTCTAAAGACTGAAGAGAGATTGGATTTACTGATCAACAATGCTGGAGTTGGAACTCCTGGTGATTTCTTAACAAGAGACGGCATGAATTTCATAATGCAAGTGAACTATTTTGGAATTTTTCTGGTGACAATGTTACTGCTACCGCTTCTGAAAAAGACTGGGACAGAGTCTGAACCGAGTAGGATAGTAAACACGTCATCGGTCATGCATAAAATTGGAAGACTTGATTTTAAGAATTGGAACAAAGTTGGGTACTGGTATAAGATACAAATCTATGGGAACAGTAAACTGTGTCTTTTAGTGTTCACCCGTGAATTGGCCAAGAGATTAAAGGGTACTAATGTTGTTGTGAACGCTGTAGATCCTGGCGCGGTAGGAACGAAAATATTTCAAAGCGCCGGCGTATCTTTCGGTAGTTTCGTAACGTTTATCTTCATGATCTTGTTTAAACAGCCTTGGGAAGGTGCGCAAACTGCTATTTATACAGCGATGAGCTTAAGAGCAGGGCAAGTTAGTGGGCAATTTTTCAAAAATTGTCAATTAAACAAAAACTTTAATATTCCATACGATGAGGAAACATTACAAAGATTTTGGAACGAATCGATTGAATGTGTGAAATTATAATACGATTTAATAGTAATTTCAAAATGTAAATTATTATGTGACCTGTTTATAAATAGGTATAAGTGTGTGATATTGATTTGTTGTAAGTAGCTATTATTATATTATAATAAAATGTTTACTTAATATCAAAGTTGTGTTGATCATTAATTGATTCTGATGCACATTATTCGTTGCTCTTATTTCCTATACTGTCCAATTGTAATGTATATTATAATTTCTAGAATCTGATTAAGCTCAAAATTCAGTTGCTTTGATGTCAGTATAATATATGTGTTAATGATATAAAGTTGAAATCCTTCACAAAAACTTTTCTAATACCATTGTTACGTATAAATTTTTTATATATATAATTATTTTTATAAACATTCATAATAGTGAATACATAATAGGCATTTATAATTATGTATGTGGATGTATTTAAAATTCTTGTTACGTATTTATTATCACCGACTTGTTTAGTAGGTACTCGTATATACCGCATTTGTGAATTGGGTACTGTTGCTATAAGGCGATTGGATAATGCTACTGGTAAAACTTTTGTTTCATGTTTTATTTTATTATCAATTTTATTTAAATAAATAAAAGAATGAAAATATCGAATTTTAGTTGATTTCGCTCAATGTAAATGAATAGTTGATAGTTGTTTATCATAATATAGCCTAGAATCTAGGGGTAAATACAGAACTTTATGGTTTTGTAAATTTTTTTTTTTGATAATATTTAATATATCTATTGGCGGGTACTAAGGGGGGCGCGCCAAGAGGCCATCCAAATAATATGTATTAGACGAGTTATAAAATTGATATAGATAAGATTTTTTCCCTTTGACATAGCGTTTATTTTGCCCAATACGCCACATATAATAGCCGAAAAATAGACGGGTAAATAAATAGGAACGAAGTATGTATTGTTATTATTAAATGCAGCTAGTGATTTGTAAACAGAATAATCAGGATAAGCCAATATACATAAAATAGATGTAAGACATGGATCTTGTGTAATAACATAGAACTAGGTTACTCAATTGCTCTCTAGCTAATCCGAAAGTTTAATATTTTTTTTATACCACGTAGATGGCAAACAATTATACGGCCCATCTGATGGTAAACGATTACCGTAGCCTACGGGTGTCGCGTGCGCGTTGCCGACCCATAAGAAGCCTTATTATACCCTTCTTGCAAAACCACATGCTGTAGTTTCTCGAGAAAAACTCGGTAGGTAGTTCATTCCGCAATCTAAGTGTATGCGGGAGGAAGCTCCTCTGAAACCGCCCTGTCCGAGACCACTTAGGTTTCAGCGCGTGGGGATGAATTCCCTGCCGGTGGCAAAAGGTAGCCGTGGGCATCATGTCAAACAATTCTTCAAAACACAATCCGTTGTATATTCGGTAGAACACACAACTCAAAATATAAGGAAACTGTAACAAAAGTGAAGTAAAAGATATATTTATCAACAATTATTATTTCGTTACAGCCAGCCAAGGTCTCCCAGTCCTTACTCTTGTTCTGTCAAGGACAAGGCCTGCTGACGTCACTACCGCCCCCGGGGATCGAAAGGCGCATGTCACGGGCTATGTCCATGGAGGAGTACGACAAGCCGAATATCAGAAGATTGTCCCTGACTCCAAGTGTCTCGGATTCTCCACCACCGAGGAAATTGTAGACCATGTGTGCAGCCTGCTCTATAAAGGAGTAGGCTTAATATTATATTGTTTCACTAAAAGTGGCTTTATATTTGTTTGAATGTCGTGATATGACGCGTCAGAACGGTATCTGTTTAGTATATTTAGTATGGTAACGTTCATACTAGTACGCTTAATGTGTTGTGATGGCTTCTGTTATTCCTCATAAGAAACGATCCCGGTAGAGTCAGAGCGGAGATATGTGTGATGAGGCCATTATGACACGTCAGACAAATGTAAGAAATGTGTTGTGATGGCTTCCGTTATGCTTCATAAGAAACGATCCCGGTAGAGTGAGAGTGAAGGTATGTGTGAAGAGGCCATCATGACATGTCGGACAAATGTAAGAAATGTGTTGTGATGGCTTCTGTTGTGCTTCATAAGAAACGATCCCGGTAGAGTCAGAGCGGAGGGACGTGTGAAGAGGCCGTCATGACACGTCAGACAAAAGTAAGAAAAGTGTTGTGATGGCTTCTGTTGTGCTTCATAAGAAACGATCCCGGTAGAGTCAGAGCGGAGGGACGTGTGAAGAGGCCGTAATGACACGTCTGATAAATGATCAAGCGCCTGTGTTGTGTTGTGACACGTCGGAGTTTTATCTTACCTAGAGTAACGACTGTATTGATTTAATATATCGTCAGAAGGCATCAGAACATGACATATTAATGTGAACACTAGCCATCACGTCACGTCACGATACATCAGACAAATATATATCCATCTTTAAACAGTTTACACGTCTTAAAGGATCGATGTTAAACCTAGTACGTTATATTACATGCATAATGGAACTAGTTACGTAGTATAAAGTTTATAGACTTGGTGTTACACCTAATGGGTCATATTATATAGAGCATGAAACTATTTTTATATTATTACGGAGCCGGTCATTAATCACGTGAATATCAAAGAGGCGGGGAAAGGTTCGTCAAAAAACACGAATTTTTTTCGTCAAACGCTCGTTATCTAAACCGAAAAGCGGCGTGTTTATGACCTTAACATTTCTAAGAATAAAATTAGATCATACACTATACTTGCAATTAGAAATTATTTAAAAAAATTAAGATTTTTGCAAGTACTAAATATACTCGTCATTTTGTGTGGTAGTGCGGGGTGGGGGGTGGGGGTGGGTGTTAGTTCTAAACCTTAACCTTACCACATGTCACTAAATGGGAAGGGGCGTAAAAAATTAATAAAAAATAATCATGCGATTAATGGCTGGAATTCTAACACGAAATTAGTTTAGAAATTGTAAAATTAAAGTATCGTAAATAAACTTGTATCGTCAGTTACAAATTGGCTTTAAATGCACGACTTTGCACGACCGATTACATTTAATTAGTGTATTGATAATGAAATTAAAGTTGTAAAACAATGTCTTTTGCATATCACTTTCATAATTTCAATTAGAATTTGTAACATCAATCGCAAATACATTCAGTCGGTTATTATAAATGGACGCTCCGTAAGGATCTTCAATTTAGTATTTTTTAAATCAAATAATTGTAATATTAATTAAGTCGTATTTAATTTAGTATTGTAGTATTTTTAATTCTAATTCATTTTAAATTATATTTACATTATGTGAAATTATTTACTTATTTCGTAAAATTATTACGCTATGTTATATTTATGAATTTTTACATTATGTTCCACGGAATTAGATGTACAATCCGTTCTATACCATAAATTCTAATGTGTCCGAAAGATATGTTGAACATAACATATCTCACGGTTGTGTTTAACACATCATAAATAAGGATTAATAGAGTAAATTGGATTTATGATGCAATTATTTGGATGTAAAATTAATAACTAGCTATTTTATTTTTTACATATTTACTTTCATTCTTCCAATTTTAAAATTTTCTGATAACTCTGATAAAATAAATAAGTTTTAAATTATTTTAATAATATCCAGACCAATAAGTATAAATTATGTAAAATAATAAGTTTAAATAAAATTCAGATTTTGTATAAATCGTAATAACAAGTCCAAATCTAGATATAGAAAAAGTTTGTCTATATAACGAGAACTATTGATGACATTGTTTTTTCATTTCTTTAATGTGTACCATTAAACTCTTAAACTGAGAATATGAAATAAAATATAAAAATGTATTATTTCTTTTTTATCTTTATTTTCATATTCCCATAGAGACATGGGTTGAATTATGATATAATTTTGCGAAGCTTAAGCGTTATGTGAGAGCGTGTTTTGATCGAATATTTTGAAAAAAAACATTCTTCATCTGCGATCTTTGGTATAAATTGTAGAGTATAAAAGTATCAGAGAAATGTTAATAATAATAATAAATAAATTCATTATTATTATTATTAGTACTTTAGTTAAACTTAAACTATATCGTTGGGACATACCGACGAACTTTTCTGACTATATGCTATAGTTATTTTTAAACTTTCGTGTTTAATATACATTATTTATATTATTAATCGGGTCTTAGCACGAATAATTTTATGGCAAATAAAGGTATTTACCTCTCTCGACGTTTCGACTAGGTTGCACTAGCCGTGGTCACGAGCTGACTTGACATAAAATTATTGTTGTTAAGACCCGGTTAATAATATAAATAATGAACTATATGCAGTTGTAAATTTTATTTTGATGTTCATTATAGTATTTTCTATGTAGACACTATGTTATATTATACTATATTTCACGTAGGTATGTTAATCACAAAGTAGAGTGTAGATATTGGGAATTTGCTGTAAAAACATACATCTAATAGTAGTATATATATAGTATATCTATATTAGTAATAAGAATATAGGTTTTAAGAATCATATTGAAAATCATTATTCTCTTATACTTTAGTACAAAACACTAATTTACTTTTTATTTACTATATAAAGCATATCTATATACTAGAACCAAAAAAAGATATTACATAAATTTCAGAGAAAAATTAAATATTAATGTTTGTGTAGATATTAAAAATATTATTGCAAGTTTCAATTTATATTTACTAAGTAATTGGATAAAGAATGCAACGAACTAAATTAAAAATGGATAAATAATAATTATATATAGTAAGAAAATTAATATTTTACCTTATCTATTATTATTTCTAAGTACAAAATTGTGGAAGGGATTATATAATATTTTTGTAAACAGCATGTAATATTTTACCTTTAAATATAAAATAATTAAAACAGTATAAGAATTATATTTGTAGTTTTTCTGTATACAGGTTATATAACGGTCTCGGTGGTCTATCGGTTTGGACACCGCTTTATTTTCGATGGTCGCAGGTTAGATTCGTCAAAAATTTGTATTCATGAGTAGGATTGGTTGCCGTTACAATCGTTGTGTCGTTTGTTGTCTGGGTGTTTTTTATGTATATAAAGTATTTTTATATGTATATAAAGTATTTTATAAAAATCTATCTATTTATCCATAACACGAGCACTGCTTACCTTGGAACTAGATGGCGGTGTGTGATTTCTCCTGGGCGATTATTGTTATATACATATATAGTAATAGACCAGTTTGTGGACGTTATACTATATGTATATATATGTAGTATAACGTCCACAAACTGGTCTATTGCGTGCGCCAAAATACTTCCGTCGAGTGTGCAGTAGTGTGCAGTCTTGCGATGCAAAAAATTGCAATATAATTAGGTCATACTTATGTGACCAGCAACTGCCTTGCTTCAACTATTGTGGGGAATTTCTAATCTACATATAGATAAAATTGGAGTGTCTGTAATATTCAAATAACCGTTTTTAATACATGCATATGAATATAATACGGTACATACACCAAAATATTTTTTACAATTTTTGTCTGTCTGTTTGTTCCGGCTGGACCGATTTTAGGGCTTTTTTTGGCAGGTAGCTGATGTAATAAGGAGTAACTTAGGCTACTTTTATAAAGTTAAATTCCACGCGGACGAAGTCGCGGGGACAGCTAGTTATTATAATAAAATATAGCTCATTTTATTATACACACATTTAATGCTTACAGACCTGAGAATGTTCGGAATCCTCATTTTTGGCCTATCTTTTCTATTAAATTAATATTTAAAGCAAGAACCTCACCTTCACTGAGAACCTAATATACTAAAGTTTACAATGAAAATCAGTTGTATCAATAAACCAATTTATTAAACGCGAACAGACGGTACACAAACTTTTTCAGTGGTTTACTACACAAAAGACTGGCACAAGTACTACACAATTACACTTACAGTGACATCCGGATCGCCGCATGCCGCGCGACTCGCCACTAAACTTCGCAAGGTAAAATATGTATAAAAAAAAGTTTTAGTAGAATAATACAATAAAATCCAGACGTTTCTCCACTCAGTATTTGCTAGAAAATTTAGAGAAAAAAAAAAACAAAATGAAAGCAGCTTCGCAAGTTTACTGAACGGAGAAATTAAACAGAGAGGGAGTACTCGTCATAAGAGATTGCAGAGCAGCGGACACCAACTCGAGCGTCATCCGACCTCCGCGGACATTTTCGAACCTTTATAAATTTTCACAGTTCTGCCATAATAAATATTATAAACACATGCGGCCGCGGTTTTGTAGCGTCCGCTTCGGCGGCGACGCTGCGCAGCGCCATACTGCACAACGCACAGGGACTATAACCCGCACAAGAACATCACTGGTCTGGGAACTGTGCATCAACAACTTACTTGATGTATGCAGACGCATTTGGTGCATTAGGCAGATTTATAACAGTCCATTTTACAAAACTCACAGGGATTATAATCGCGCACAAAATCATTGGTCTGGGAACTGTGCATCAATAACTATTTGGTGGTACGTGCATGCAGATGTTGCATTCCGCCGATTTAGAACCGTTCTTTTTGCAAGTGTTCTTCGAAAAATGAATGAATTTCAATGTACTTTATCGTTCCAATATAAAAGCACTGCTTCTAATTTCACTGGTCTATTATTAAATCGTCTTTTATATTAAATCGTATTATATGGTGGCAGGTGGCATGAGCTCGCGGCGGGAGGGTGTCACGCCCCCCGCGGCCGCTGTCACAGCTCATCGTCGCAGCCAGGCTGCATGTCTGAAGTCTCAATGGCCACTTCATCATAATCTCGCTCAAGTGCAGCCAGGTCTTCCCGGGCTTCTGAAAATTCGCCTTCTTCCATACCTTCGCCGACATACCTGCGAAAATTAGGATACATATATGTTTTATTCATTTAATATTGTAGTTGTCGACTAAGATTCTAAATAGGGATGAACTCTTTTATATAAATGTATAGATATTTTTCTTATCAGAAGCCACATGTTCTGAACAATGTTGTCAAATATTTTGGAAGAATTCTAACAGTCTTCGATATAAAGTTATAATTAAATTTTGACCTATTCGATTGGCTTATGGCTAGTATATATAGCAACTTGTACCGCCTGATTAATTAATTTCGGAATTGTAGAAAAAAATAGATTAGGCCGACTGAATATCCCAAACAAAGATAATTTCTAGTCTTAGTACGTATTTGAAACTACATTAGGGCGACAGGTGGGCGATGCAGATTCTAATTCCATGTGAATGAAACTATTGATAAACAAATACACGTTTATAAATTTTAAAATATTACTTTTTTAGTTATCTTGCATCGATTTGATATATATATTTATGGACCACAAGCCAGGAACATGTCAATGTTTTCGATTTTCTCCCGTTCCAAAACTTCTAAAATGTTTAAACCCTTAGAACCGTAGCGGACTTTCACTAAGCCACATAACACAACTTTCAGTTTTCAATCGGAAGAGTAAACAATTGATGAATGACTACGAGGACTATAATATTACAATGAAATTAGATATTTAGATACCAGTGTACAAACGCCCGCTTTGAGTACATGAGGTCAAACTTGTGATCCAGTTTGCCCCAGGCCTCCGCGATGGCCGTCGTGTTGCTGAGCATGGAAGCGGCGCGCTTCACCTGCGCCAGGTCCCCGCCTGCTACCACCGATGGCGGTTGGTAATTTATGCCAACCTGAACAATATAGGACCAATTAAACTAATTGTAAATTGTAAGGGGTCTGAAAAATATAAGACCAACTATAATTGTAAAAAGGAAGAAAGTGGTACCTAAAATATAGGTATCAGGAAATATATATAATATAAGATTTGCACAGTACATTGCTAGCAATGTACCGTATGTTAGGTTGAACTCCACGTGGGGCCATCTTGAAACCATAGTGGTAAATTGCAATTTGCCAAGATGGGCTTACTGACCTTTATGCTCATTTTATCATCCTCCACAGGTGCCCCGTCAGCATAAACTGTTAGCGCAGGTCCCACTTGTCATTATTCCCATTATCATCCTAAAAAATGCTAAGATGTTCCTCTATCATTAATGTGACCTTGAAGCCTGTTGGACACCAATCGACGAATCGTATTCCGGCCCTGCCCTTCATCGCCGCTATAGCTGCGTTCACGTCTTTCGGCACCACATCGCCCCTGTACAGCAGGCAGCAGGCCATGTACTTGCCATCGCGAGGATCACACTTCACCATCTGATTCTGTGGCTCGAACAGTTCTGCTGTGATCTCTGATACGGACATACCTTCGTGGTATGCCTAAAAAAATGAATAGTTTGTTTTCACAATCTATATGTTTTTTCACGTCCAGTGAGGACGTATAGATTTTGATAGAGATATTACTGTTATAATTCTTGTATTCCTAAAAGTAATAACAGTAATATAAATGTTAAGCTATCTTGGTAAAATGCAGTTTTTCATTGCTATACTTCAAGTCTAAAATAGGATAACTAAAGTTTTAATAACTACTAAAGTTTAGATTATACAAATTCATTATGTTCAAAATTGGGAAGGTGTTTAAAGAGAAAATATTCAACAAAGATAAAAATAACGTCAGACTTATTTTAAGTGTTTCTCGCAACTATGACATACTCGTGATCCGGCCCAACTAACAGTTTTGTATATACTAACATATATCAGTGATAAAGTAACTACGTATACAATACATGATACCTTGTCCGCGGATACAACTGGTGCGTACGCGGCTAGAGGGAAGTGTATCCGAGGGTAAGGAACTAGATTCGTTTGAAACTCCGTGAGGTCCACGTTGAGAGCGCCGTCGAAACGCAATGAAGCAGTTATTGATGATACTACCTGTACAATTATAACAAAATAATATTTCAGTGAAAGAACGGCTTTAGATTTATTTATTTGAGCGACCAACAAAGACACACTATGTGGGTTCAGGTAGACTGTTGACTTAATTACTGGTTGCCACGGCATGCATAAATGTTTACATCGTTTGGTTCGGACATCACAATAGCATGTGACACCCTGACTAAGTCATCCCAGATTATAATCGAATCAGCTTACAATGAAAACTGCTAGGCGGCTGAAAGATGACTGGGGTAAACGTTTTTAAGCGATAATAAAATCCTGCTGTCAAGCACATTCCTTCTCTCATTTTATATTATTCGAAACTGTTGTTGGTCTTACATTATATTTAATTCGATTTTTTTATTATTTCATCGACTATTTCTACATAATTCAAGATAATAGCTGCCTTTACACGATACATTCGTTCACGCGCGATTTATAACAGGAAAGCTAGCGTGCGCAAACATCTCTTTCCTTTCTCTTTCGCGCGTCATTGTATGTCATTGTCTTTCACATGTCATCTTTTAAAATGTAACATAATTTTCTAGAAATACGTTTTTATCATTAAATCTGTAATTATATATTTTGCAATGAATTACTTATTACAAAAAGATGCAAAAGCACGCACGTTTGAAACACGGGAATGCGCGATAAGGCGGCGCATGTGCTCTCTCGTTCTCTTTATTTACATTTACATGAAAAAGCTTGCGTGAAAGGCGATTTGCGTGTAAAACAGCGTACATGTACTCGTAAAGGCAGTCATTTACATATAGAGTCTGTGTAAAACTGTGTAAAGGCGATTCGCGCGTGACAGAACCTAAGTGTAAAGGCAGCTAATGAATTTAAAAAATATATACTTGTGAAATAAGCCTATTGAGGTTGGCATACGATGGCCTCTCTATAGACAGTCGCCGCCGGCAGATGTCATAAATGGCTTCGTTGTCGACCATGAATGCGCAATCAGAGTGGCTGATGGTCGCGTGAGTGGTCAACACAGCGTTGTACGGTTCTACCACCGCTGTTGACACCTGAGAAGACATGCAAGATATTCAAACATCTGTACACTACCAATGATAAAATAATAGCTAGCTAAAATAGTCATACCAATAATAATAGTTTTTACAAAAACTAGTGGTCGACCATAATTTAACGTTCAAATTCAAATTTAAATTCAAAAATCATTTATTAATGTAGGACATTTTAGCCGCTTATAAACGTCAATTTTTTACATTATAATTTTATGTTTTTCCCTACCGTCCAGTTCGGTATATACATAGATCCAATTGAGAAGAACTGGTAAGAAACAAATGATTTTTTAAAGCCAGTTTGTTTATATACCATATTTATTTATATATAGGTGTCTCATTCGGATAAAAATTAAAGACAATATTAATTTGACCACAGACTAACAATAAACAAAAGAGTAGATATATGTGCGTGTGCATTGATTTAAAATATTTTAATGCAAAATATTTTTAATGTCAAATATTAAACTCGGCCGTTCCATCGTGATATACACAGCCAAATACATAGATGTAGTATCTCATAATATTAGTTCTGTTACTAATCTTGGATTTATATAAAATATACAGTAAATATATTATTTTGTAACGTACGTCAAATCTTATCACGAGTATGCAATAATATCAAGACATCTTTGGATGATGTAATCAAGACAAGAAAGTGTGCGTCAAAAACGAGAGTGAAAGTTGTTAAATCGTTGAATAATATTTGAAATCATAGCGTCACCTATGGCTATACACGTATAATGTTCTACGTTTATTATTACTAGGTGTATTATAATCTTATTAATATGGTAAATGCGAAAGTTCGTGAGTATGGATGGATTTTTGTTACTCTTTCACGCAAAAACTACTAAACGGATTCTGATGAAACTTTACACCAATATAACTTTCTAGCTGTGCCCGCGGTTTCACTCACGTTAATTTTTTAATATAAAATATAGCCTATGCATTATACTAATGCATAAGCTGTACTGTCAAAATCCGTTCAGTAGTTTTTGCGTGAAAGAGTAACAAACATCCATACTTACAAACTTTCGCATTTATAATATTATTAAGATATCTCAGAATAACATAAGCTATAAATTTAATGCGGACGAAACCACGGGCACAGCTAGTATAACTATATTACCCACTACTTATTTTTTTAATATAAATGGTACGTAACAGGTCAATTTATAAAATATAATTTAATAGTGTTACTGTACAAGTCAAGAATAAAATGGTGCGAAATGAAGAAATACAATGTAATGTAAATTTGTTTCTAGAGTCGCCTGGCTGTTGTCTTATTATTATAATCGTAATAATATTTGACGGTCTCGATGGTCTAGTGGTTTAGCACACCGCCTTACTTCCGATGGTCGTGGAGTCGGTGTATTTAGAAAAAAATGTATTAAGTATTTCTATTTATTATCTCTTAATTAGTACCCAAAGCATAAGCTTTGCTTAGCACGACGCTAGATGGCGCTGTAAATGCTTATGCGTTGGGATTATGCAATCCAGTGGTTATTAGTCAAACGTTCTAATCTAAGGAAAAAAATATTTAACTTACTTGCGGCGCTGGATATATTGCAAATTCCAGTTTACTCTTTTTGCCAAACTCGTCTGACAGCTTCTCCATTAGTAGCGATGTGAACCCCGAGCCTGTACCGCCTCCAAACGAGTGAAACACGAAGAAACCCTGGATAAAATTATTATATAAGTTTGAAATATACACATTTCTATAAGTTTCACAAATTCATTATCGTGATTTAAAACATTTTCATTATACTTAAAACATTTTCATTATTTTTAAAACATTTTCATTGTAACATTTACATAGAATGCTTTCAGCTGTATTATGTTCTCAAAATTGTGCTTCCTCTGTTGTTACTTCTTAAGGCAATATACAAAAAAATCTGAGCAAAAGGTCTGAATGAGGTTTTTTAGGTTATCGACGACTAGGAAAATTGAGGTCTAAATGAAAAAGTATAATGGTAACAAAGGATAAATACGACTAAGCTAGACCAGATATGTATTTAAAAGATTGAGTCCTATACGAAGTTCGAATGAAATATGAATGTTTTATTTAGTATATATCCGAATGGCAATGAAGCTTTTGGACTACAAACTTCATTGCTACCAAGAAAGCGTAAAGCTTTTGGACTACAAACTTCATTGCTACCAAGAAAGCGTAAAGCTTTTGGACTACAAACTTCATTGCTACCAAGAAAGTGTAAAGCTTTTGGACTACAAACTTCATTGCTACCAAGAAAGTGTAATGCAGATGAAGTTGCGCTGGTCAGCTATTTCTATTTGTACAGCATCCCTCTAGTAAAATTAATATGTAATCAAGTACTTTAGTTTTCACTAGCTGTACCCGCGACTTCGTCCGCGTGAAATTCACCCTTATTTTTCAGAACTAAAAGAATTTTTCTAAAATAAAAGTAGCCTAAGTTACTCCTTATTACATCAGCTACCTGCCAAAAAATGTCCCGTCAAATTAGCCCGAGATTAGCCGGAACAGACAGACAAAAATAGTAAAAAATGTTATTTTGGTGTATGTACCGTATTTATATTCATATGCATGTAGTAAAAAACGGTTATTTCCATATTACAAACAGACACTCCAATTTTATTTATATGTATAGATATCTCAGGACAATTCACACAGCGCCATCTAGTCCCAATTTAAATAGAACTTCTATAACATAAGCTACTACTAGGAATACTAGACAACTGATATAAACTTAAATACATTTTTTAATACATAAAAAATACTCCTATAAATGTTTGTACTGTGAAGAATCGAACCCCCAACCAGCAGAATAATGCTGTATCCTAAACAGATACAGTACAGAGGTCGTCATTCATGTATAGATAAGTGCATCTTCATACTCACCTGTAGTCCAGTGCATTGGTCGGCCAGTTTCCGTACCCGCTCCATCACAGGGCCCAGAACCTCGCGGCCGGTAGAGTAGTGGCCGCGTGCGTAATTGTTGGCTGCATCTTCTTTACCAGTGATCAATTGTTCAGGGTGGTACAGTTGACGGTATTCACCGGAACGTACTTCATCTATATACGAAATGAAACGTTACGTTCATTAGCTAAGAATATAGTGTTCACAATGATTATAGAATCGGATATATACATATGTATATAATTCTATATTTTGTTTTATGTGAAGAGATATATTTTTTATATCGATGATTATGCTTCTGTTGGTAATTCCATAAATTGTATAATGTAATAATAATTATTACATTATACAATTTAAAATTAGAATATGAATCTTATAGAATAATAATATTAATAATCTCAGGACAATTCACACAGCGCCATCTAGACCCAAGTTAAGCTAGCTAAAGCTTGTGTTATGGGTACTAGATAGCTGATACATATACAGTTTTTTTTTTGTAAATACATTCATATTATACATAGAAAATACCCAGACCGATAAAAACAATCATACTCATAATACAAATGTTTGTGCCGTGCGAGGAATCGAACCCGCGACCATCGGTCGTAAAGCGGTGTGCTAGACCACTAGACCATCGAGGTCGTCAGATAATCGTCAGAATAGTATAGAAAATTCTTTATTAATATAAACTTTAAGCACTTTTAAATAGTCATTACTTTTTTTAATTACCGCTCATTTGGATAGCTGTCTCATCAAAAGACGAACGAGCAAGAGCTTGCGTGTTGCTCTTTTAAATAATAGACTACAAGCCAATGTTAAAAAAAATCCTGTGAAATGAACTAACGTACATAAATAACGCTTAGAAGGCTGATACTATATCAAAAAATAACTCTGAGCACAATGCCGTTATTTCTGAGCGGTACAGGTGAGTACATGAGTAAATGGAATTTCACAGGTACAATATATTCAAATAAACTCATTACAAGCACTTTTGAATAGTCATATTTTGACTCTACCACTCATTCGGAAAGCAGACTCATCACAAGAAGAATGAGCAAGAAACTTGTGTGTTGCTCTTTTGAATAGATTTTTTTACATAAATAATTACAGTATAACAAAGTAAGAGGCACGCGATAATCAACGTAGAAATCGCTATGCACTCATTATTAGAGCAATCAGATAATATTGTCAGTGCTATGGATTTTAAGTCTTTCTATAAAACATTATTATCGTTAACGAATTCTTCAATTTTATAGTAAGCTATTTTACAAAGCAAGTGTTTTATATGAGGAAAACTTCTGTACGACTAACTATTAATGTACGGCTTTTTTATAGTTTATAGATGATTAAAAATAAATGTCGAAAAACCTAGTACCGTTCTAAAGTGGTGGTGACGGAAGTCAGTGCAAGTGTTTTATTCGCCGATAATAAGGTCATTTATTACTGTACGGCATTTTTTTTTTGAGGGTTGATAATGGAATGGTGCACCCGCCTGCGCTAACGGTTTACGCTGGTGGGGCACCAGTGGAGGATGATAAGAGGTGCATGAGGTCAGGTCAGTTAGCTCATCATGCAAAATTATCAGGAATTTAACACGATGGTTTCCAGGGGGAACCGCGTGGAGGTCGACCTGACATGGCACATTGCTAGCAATGGGGTTATCTTATTAAGTTGAAATGTGTGAATACAAACTACCAATTAGCATAACTCATTAAAGGTAAAATATTGAACTTATTACAATACATTATTTTTATTTTTTTATAGGAACAAACACACAACATTGTGTTTGTATGTTGATGTAAAATATAGATTTTCAAGTTGTCATAAAAAATTACATTAATTATAAAATAATTCCAAAAATGGTCATTCGAGTACATCATCATCATCATCATCGCAGCCCGCAAGACGTCCACTGCTAGACATTTGAGTAATTTTCAACATTTCTCTAATACAGTGACTTCACCTTTTTTGTAAAACAATTACATCACAATGGCACCACGGATAAAAAGACATGTTACCAATGACAGTCGCTTCCAGATCCACCATCACAACCCTCGGCACCATCTTGCCCCTGTCTGCCTCCGAAAAGAACGTATTGAAGCAAGAGTCGCTGGAGTTGGGGTCCGCCTCGCAGACAGGCAAGGTTCCGTCTGGCCGGATGCCGTGCTCGAGGCAGTATAGCTGCCAGCACGCCACGCCCATCTGTACCCCTGCCTGCCCCACGTGCACTGAAATGCACTCCCTCTGCTCGCATACAAAATATACACACGTTATTATAAGGCATCCAACAGACCGCTTGACCGGACGATAGGGGGCGAGTGCAGATGGCACTCCGAACCCGCGGAAGGACTTATGGAGCGGCTGAAGGCCATCTCCCGCCTGACGGATACGACTTTAGTCTGAGGGCACCGCTAGGGGTTCAAACCTCGGCTCAGGCCGTTGTAATATCGATCCCCGCTTGAATTGGACAGGGTATCGATCTGAGGAGGGGGGGGGGGGGTCAAGTAAGTGTAATGCAGGCGAAGTTGCGCGGTTCAGCTAGTATCTTCATAGTGATTTCACTGCCATGTCTCATCTTTAAAGCCACAGCATATTACTTGATAAATGAAATAGGCAACAATAAAGCACCAAATGAAGACATTATTGTCTAAAAAAACATACACATGCAAACAAAACTAAAGCATGCAGTTGGTCTAAAAAACAATCAAATGTATTTGCCTCTTTATTGCCTCAAAGGTTTGTTAAATTGGTAATATTTTGGAGATATACCAACCACCATCAGCTATTAGAACGGAAAGCATATGGTTAAGTCTTCATATCAAATTATCAATACAGAAATCATCTTATGACAAGTATATATAAGAGAAAGGTACAGATAAAAAGTTCCGACTCTGTCAGAGTTACACCTAAATATTTTACAGAATTGACATATCCAAATGACACGTATAAAAAATGGAAGAAATTTACAAAAAGACATTTATTAAAATAAATATTAAATTACGCAAGTGCCAAATGAATTTAAGCTTTACAATAAGCAAAATGAGTATAATCTGGTAATATAATTTACATAACAGCAAGTATCTCGTATTTTTAGATTCAGTTTAGCTCATATTTATTATATTATACTAGCTACCCACCTCGCTTCGCACGAGTGTACATGTATTATACATATAAACCTTCCTCTTCAATCACACTATCTATTAAAAAAAACCGCTTCAAAATCCGTTGCGTATTAAGATTTAAGCAGGGACATAGGGACGGTCAGACAGCAACAGCGACTTTGTTTTATACTATGTAAAGATGTAGATAAAAATAATACGTAGAAATGTAACCGAACAAAAATTATCATGAGTCTGATACAATTCTGATTATAGACTTACATGCACTAGTTTTAGGATTCTTACATATTATTTTAAATATCACTAAGAATACTTACCATGATGGTGTACTGATAATTTTGATAAATCCGATGTAAAATTAAATAAAACCGATTAAATTAAAACGTTATTGATACAAAAATTTTGTTGGAACTGAAATTTTGAAATACATTGAGAATCTGAGCGCGACTGATGGGTTGCTTGAATCGATTGTTTTTTTATTCCATGTTTAAATATTATGAAAAATTCCATACGGCCAGCGATTTTAGTTAAAAATGTAATAACAAGTTTTGTATAAAATTCTAGGTTTTATTACATTGACTCTATTATGTACCTATTACAGTTTATCTTTCCTTTGCTTTTATCTTATTGCTAGCTACTCGTCCCGGCTTCGCACGGGTGTACATGTATTATAAATTTTTTTTTTTATAACACAGGGGACAAACGAGCATGCGGCTCACCTGATGGTATGTGATTACCGCCGCCCATGAGCACCCGCAACACCAGGGGAATTGCAAGTACGTTGTCGGCCTTTTAAAAAGGAGTAAGCTCTTTTCTTGAAGGTTTCAATATCGTATCGGTTCGGAAATACCATTGCTGGAAGGTGATTCCACAATGTGGTTGTATAAATACATACAAACCTTCCTCTTGAATTACTCTATAGATTTCTAAAAATTGCATTAAAATCCGTTGAGTAGTTTAAAAAATATATTATATTATATTTTATAGTATGTAAAGATTTGGGGTCGGCGTAATGTATTTTTCTGTCTGTGATTCCTATCACCTGACATGTCTGAGCTTACTCTCGATTTATAATTATCATCTTTCACCTAGCGACAATTATTTTTATTTCAATTAACAGCTACCTGCTTCTAAATAATAATTACATTTTTTAATAAATATTTATTTATATTTCTATTTTTAAATTAAATATAACATTAGTCACAGAAAATACTTTTATTTTAATTGCACTTTTATTTTATTTTTCATTAAACTTCGAATAGTAGCGTACATTATTTTTTTTTACTTATTAATTATCCAATAATAATAACATGTTTTATATATTAAAAAAGAGAAATAAATTTTGTTATATTATTATGTTTTTTTCCAGTAGTTATATCCTGATTATCAATTTTTGTTATATTGCATGAACAATGCAATAATGTATTCTAAATTAGTAAATAAGTATAAATTATTAATTACATTTATTAAATATAAATATAAATTAATAATACATTTATTCACCTACAAAGAAACATATGTGAATTGAAGGAAATTATTTTATTTTAAGATTGTTATACATACCTACTATTTTTAGAGGTCGCTGGAGGGTGGTAAGCACGCAGCAAGTGATGGGGGAGGACCCTATAATGTTGGACCTATTATGGCACAATGGATCGATGGGACCAGCCGTTAGACGGGGCGGACCCTCGGGAAGCTGTTGTAAGTTAATTTGCATTTTTTTTCTCAACTAGTTAGCATGAGAGGAGAAACTATTTAGATTTATACAAATACTAGCTGTGTCCGCGTTTACAGCTGCGTGAAATAGCCTATATGTTATTCTGATGTATAAGATATATTACTGTAAAGTTTCATCAAAATAAGTTCAGTAGTTTTTGCGTTAAAAAGTAACAAACATCTGTCCATACTCACAAACTTACGCGTTTATAATATTAATAAGATGTCAAAGTTATCCGCATACTAATATTATAAATAAGAAAATTAATTTGTCTGTCTGTAGATCTTTTACCTTTTGACGACTATTTAGGTGATTGAGCTTACAGATATCTAACGTGAATATAATACCTAATAATAATATAGGACAACTCAAACAGCGCCATCTAGCTCCAATCTAAGCAGAGCTTGTGTTACGTGTACTAGACAACTGATATAAATACATAGATACATTCTTTTTGTAAATACGTACGATATATATCGAAAACATCCAGATCCATACAAACAACCATAGCAGTATGGTTATCCTCACGTAGGTGAATATAAATGTTTGGCATCGTGCGTGGAATCGAACATGCGACCATAGGATCAAAGACGGTGTGCTATAACCGCTAGACCAGTGAGGACTTCACGACAACTTTGTACGAAGTATGGGATATAAAGAAATACTAATAATTAATATTAATATATGTAAATATTGATTTCTTAAAAGACTGACTGGAAAATTGCTTTTATTATTTTAACATTCGCTGAGAATTCCTATGCATAAAAAATTAATGTAATAAATAGTAATTTTTAATAATAAAACCTATTACAATCTCGGCATAAGTACGGCAATAAATAATAATCTTTAATATCTAATAACTAATAACCTCGGTGGTATAGCGGTCTAGCACACCGCTTTACGACCGATGGTCGCGGGTTCGATTCCTCGCACGGCACAAACATTTGTATTCATGATGGTATGATTGCTGTATCGGTCTGAGTGTTTTCTATTATGTATGTTATATGTATTTACAAAAAAAATCTATGTATTTGTATCAGTTATCTAGTACCCATAACAGAAGCTTTAGCTAGCTTAACTTGGGTCTAGATGGCGCTGTGTGAATTGTCCTGAGATTATTATTATTATTATAACAAAATCTATTACTAGTTACTACTACTTGTAATAATTTGTTAGAAAAAGGAATGTGATTATAAAATTTGGAAATAGTATAAAAGTCCGTTGACTTCCCTAGAGTATATAAAAGTTTATTTACACACAAACAAACAACCGTGACTGTAAGTACGGCTGAATATAATAAATCATTTCTTTGTTTCTTAACACCTAATTCAGTCACACTCCAACACTGCAGTTAATCCTTGTAAACATGTATTCAAATGTAAAAAAAGTCCAAGTTCCCTCGTTTACAAGTTGGTTATTTTGAATATATAATTGCGTGACATTGTCCTTGTGTGCAAATAAATGGAAGGAAGCGTTAAATCCATTTGGTTATGGTTTGGCTGTTGTGGACGGGATAAGTCCGTAACTATAATTGAGTATCTACCTACTTGTGTTGGAGAGTTTTGGAGTTTTGTTTGTTTATTTAAATTTTATTGATGAAGTAAAGCTAGGTACAAAATCTGTACTTAATAAAATTTACATTCTGTAGAATTCGACGTCTGTGTTTGAACACTAGTTCAAGCCCTTAGAAATATCGATTTATTTTTATTTTAGCAACTTACTACAATAAGAATAATATCTTGGGACTATTCACATAGCGCCATCTAGTAAGCACAGCTTGTATTATGAATATTGGACAACTGATACAAAAACATTTTATTAAATACATACACATTATAAATAGAAAACACCTAGACTCATACTAACAATTATACTCTTGAACAAATGTTTTTGCGGTCCGAAGAATCAAACCCGCGACTATCGGAAGGATCAATTATACTCTTGAACACAAATGTTTTTGCGGTGCGAAGAATCGAACCCGCGACAATCGGAAGGCGGTGTGCTAAACGGCTATACCACCGAGGCCATCAATCTATAAAGATAGACAGACATTATGTCTAATATTTTAGTAAATACATTCAATACGACACAAATAGCAACGGGTAAAAAAAAATGGGTGGGGTAGATTGAAATCTTTGATAACGGCGAGACTCGTGATAGTTATCTGTACAATAGTGACTAATATGTTCAGATAACATCTTATTAAAGGAGGGAGGTGCGGCTTTGAATCCGAACTTGGCTTTTACACTGCCGCGCAGCTTTCGTACTAAAACATAATGTTATAGTAATAAAAAATATTAAAAACCAAAAGATGTTAATGTTTGATAATACCGTTTAAAAACCTCTATGGGCTTATGGGTCAAAATACAAAACTGTTTAATGAGAAAAATTACTGAGCTATAAGTCCATCCCTTACTTATGGGTCAAAATACAAAACTGTTTAATGAGAAAAAATTACTGAGCTATAAGTCCATCCCTTATATGAGCTATAAGTCTATACCTTACAAGTTTAGGGAAGTGCGTCAAAATCAAATATTAAAATCATCTATAGGGCCTAAAACATTATACTGAGGTCAGTATCGGGTGTCCTTTGGCATATCACCAACGACGAAATTCATAATGAACTTGACATATTGAAAGATTATAGAAAATACTCAACTCTAAAACAAAATATAAAAAGAGCTTTTGTGACTTGGGTTACAAGACTGCTTGACTATTAGAATAAAGCCTAAAAAGACGCAGTAATTTATGGAGCAGATCGTCCCGCTGGGGCGGACACATCGTTCTCAGTTTACAAACTCAAAATATAGTTCCAGGCCTGATTGCAGATAGGAGAATATAAAATAGAATAGAATAGAAAAATCCTTTATTCAAATAAACTTACTTTAAGCACTTTTGAATAGTTAAAGTTATCGATACTTTGATTTACCACTCATTTAAAAAGCTGTGAAAATTCAATTCAAAAATCATTTATTCTTGTACGACATTTAAGCCGCTTATGAACCTAAGTTTTTTTATATTATATTTTTTCTTTACCGTCCAGTTCAGTATATATATATATATATAATCCTACATATACATACATATCGTTCCCATTCGTTCATACGAATGGGAACGAATGAGCATGAATGAATGGAAACAGAGGAGCAAATGGATAGAAACGAAAGAGTGAATGGATGGAGAAAGGAATGAATGGAAAAAGAGGATTCTCATTCCCACATAATAATATATATATCCAATTGAGTAGAACTGGCAAGAAACTCAATTGAATTACTTTTTTTTATAGCCTTACTTACAATGTATATTTATATAGGTGTCTATGTATAACATTAAATGAAAATCCCGTGCATGAACAACTATTGGCATGCACGCTCGTCATTCAAGTAATCGTTTAGTGAGTAGATAGTTTTTGCTCAGTAAATATGATTTAACAGATGTTTTTGTCACATCACAAGAAGAGAAAATCAACAATACACAAATACCTATATTTTATTATCACATTTTTTATCCGCAACACGGAAAGATTTTTTAATATACCGCTTCAGTGACAATTCGTTGCAACAATGGTACTAGGTGTGGGCAATATAAAAAATCCAATTTCAGCCACGGAGGCGGAATAATGACTGCTTTTTACCGGTTTAATCCGGATCAGATAGTACGGTGCCCTAATGCGATGCGCGTTTGATATTCATGATCATTCCCTGCGGATTGCCAGGGATTTGGTGGATCAAAAAGAATGACG